TGGGACCTCGTTGACAGTCGCCTATGCACTGTTTGGCTAGAAGGCTCAGTAAGAACTCGGATGGATAGGGACATACGTCGTTGCCTTTTTCTCGTTTATGCCTATGCTCCCACTGACCAACGATGAACTCAAATGGACCATATTGCCATCAGTAATCTCTGGAGAGGCGCGGTAGAAGATTGTCACTCGTACGGGAGTTCATGTTTAGGCTCTGATTATGCTTTAATATGAACACACATTCGATTGCGCCTCACTGGATTCAAACTAACCACATTAAGAAGACCCATTAGATTCGAAACTAGAGACGAAAAAGCCAAAAATAGATTCCACGAACAACTGAGGTCACACTTATGCAGTTCTGGAGACGAGGCTGACCGAGATGTTGCTTGGAAAGATATACGAACAACTGTGGAAACAGTATCGAAATCTATCAATGATTTGAACCAAATGGTTACTGAAAATCAATGAATTTCTACTAAATCTACTGCACTGATAGGTTCTCGTAAACCCATCCCATCAGACTCTCAATCTGATGAAGAACGAAAACAAATTAGATCTAGGTTAACCAAAAGTCTGAGGAACGATCGTGAGCAGTGGTGGGCAACGAAAGCAAAAGAGATGGAAAAGGCAGTGGCTGTAGGTAACAACAGACAGCTTTTCAGACTCATAAAAGAAACTGAAATTAAGAAGTCAAGTGTAAGTGAAACGATCTCGGAAAAATACGGCACTTTTATCTGCTCTCAGCTCAGACGTTCAGAGTGGTGGGCGGAACACTTTAGAGAAAAGTTTAGCTAACCTTCAGCTACTGTACAACTACCTACTAGTCTCAGAAAACCTGAATGGAACAATGAAGTAGGTCCCCTGAACCTAGCTAAAGTTCAAAAGGCTATAGCTAATCTAAAATGAGGAAGAGCAGCTAGTCCAGATGGATTGGCTCTAGAGGTCTTTTAATACGGCGGTCCAATTTTAACGATTAGGTTGGATATTTTAGCTAAAATCTGGAAACTGAAAGTAATCCCATCTGACTGGTCGCAATCACTGATTGTCCCAATATATAAGAAGGGGTCAAAATCATCCTGCGATAACCATAGAGGGATTAGTCTGACTCACATGGCATCTAAAATACCAGCCTCAATAATTATCGGATGCCTAACTAAGACTCGTGAACTGCAAACACGAGAAATTCAGGCTGGCTTCAGACCTGGTCGTGGCTGTATCGACCACATATTCACCACTTACTAAGTTTTATAACACAGGCATACTTATCGGAGTCCGACAATGATAGTTTTTCTTGATTTGAAAGCAGCATTTGACTCTGTAGACCGAGAGTTCTGTGGTAGTGTCTGCCATTGTAAGGTGTACCTCAGAAGTACATAAACCATGTGAGGGCTCTTTACTCGAACACTACCAGTCGAATCTTTTATCTCGGAAGTCTGCTCAGCCTTGATGGGTTGGTTTCTGACGAAATCTACTTTACGGCTGCAACACGTGGCCATTTAGAGTAGACGATGCCCGTAAACTACTATTATTTGAACAGATATCGTGGAAATATTGCTCGCATCTTCTGGGATCACCGGGTAAGTAATAGTGAGGTTAGACTAAGGGTATTAGGGAATGATGGTAAATCAGTTGACGAGGATGTGAATCTTCATCGACTGAGATGTGTTACATATGCCGGAACACCGATTATCAGGACGCGCAACGCTGATTAGTGATGGAATGGTTGGAAGTTAGGTGCGGTCAAACCAAAATGTGGCATCAGTGCTTGAGGTCACTAACTTCTGGTTTGAGCAATGTTGGTAGATGATAACTCTGGTGATGTTGGTAGATGCAGACCACTTTTTGGGGTTCACGCAACTATCGTAACCAGTTGGATAGTGGCTAGTAGTGGAATCCAGGACGCGCGTTTCGTCCTATTTGGGACTCGTCAGCTGGACGTACCTGCATCACAGAGGCTGTATCGAGGCAATACGCACAGTATGCACATATTGAATTAAACAACTGACCCCAACAATCATTATTGCCGTCATTCTTACAACTTCTAACAATTGTATTTGCTTTATCTTACAGTAGAAAAATGTTCAAATATAAAGAACTGGTTTATGTTTTACATCATTTCTTTGTGGAATACTTGAAATAAAATATTTAGTGTTTATACAATGACAATAAGTCTGTATTATATTAGCTTAAACGACATAATAAATTTCCAATCGCTCAAAAGATATAAATCAACATAGTTGAATAGTTAATTACAGATAATAATTACATTTTCATATTGTAATCATCAGTGAAGTTAATCAGCATAAGCATACTGTGTATACAATGCATATAATAATTTGTTGATAATACAAAATGAAAATAATCTAAATATCAAATTACTCGAAACATTTGTAATTATGTTGATGGTTCAATGTCTAGAACCCTAATTAGTTTAATTATGAAGGTTTCAATTTCTAGAAGTAAATTATTCTTCTACACAAATCTCAAAAATTAAATATTTGTTACTATGTAGTCAGATGCTGAAAGCATGAGTCATTTGAAGCTAGACCATCAAGGAAAACCTGGAAGCACTGGACGACCGTTTCGTCCCATTGTGGAACTCCATCTCAGCAGTGCGCATCCACGATCTCGCCTCGTGAGACTCGACCCCAGAACCTACCAGTCTCGCTCCAGAGCACTTAACCGATAAACCACTGAGCCGGCTTCTGGTGGTTTTATTGTTTAACTTCAACCAATCCACAAAGTTGAGCAACCGTTCACCAATTATCTTCAGTGAGTTCCTATCTCACAACAGACATGGTTTGAACTTCACTGGTCACTGCTTCCCACAATAGAACGAAGCGGCCGTCCAGTGCTTCAAGGTTTTCCTTAGTGGTCTAGTTTCAGTTGACTCATGCTTTCAACTATGGGAATACTGAAATCTTCACAAAACCCCTTCTGATAATATATTCAATAATTATATTTAATTATGTAAAGAATTTTCTTTAATTGAATAAATTTTAATCTTAGATTTAAAAGAAAATCATATTGAAATTGTAAGATTACTGTTGTTTGTTCATAGAGTAAGATAATTGTTTATCGGTTCTCCAGTGTTTGCTTGATAGATATTTTATCCACTTTTCAAATGTGTCTTCAAATCAACCAATATTTCCGAAATAAAGAAAAGAAAAGGCAAGAAAACTAAATCATTTAGATAATTTTTTCATGATAGTTTATGTTATAATGCTTGGATTTTCTCGTATACATGAATGGGACGTTAATTTACCTTAGACAAATATCTACACTAGATTCCCTCCCAGTGTCTATTCTGCAAAACTTCAACACAACTCAGATCAAGAACACATGATTAGCCTAACTGGGACGTAAATATATTTCCACACCAAAAACCGACAACAAGCCGACACAAGCCAACAACAATTAATAATATTAAGGGTAGGAGAATATATATATATATATATATATATATATATATATATATATATACGCTTGTTAGACCATCTATAATCTGACTAAGCAAACAATCAATCAAAATCATCCTTGCACGCACATCAGTTTTGTACAAATTCAAGATAGTTTTTTATGAAACTAAATTAGCTAAAGAATAAAGTTATAGAGTTGAGATCATGAGTCAATTGAAGCTAGACCACCATGGAAAACCTGGAAACACTGGACGGCCGTTTCGTCCTATTATGGGAATCCTCAGCAGTGCGCATCCACGAACCCACTCCTGCGGGATTCGAAACCAGGACCTACCAGTTTCGAGCCAAAGCCCTTAACCTCTAGACCACTGAGCTATCGTCCAACCGTGTTAATGTCTAACTTCAACTGATTCACGAAATTGAGCAACCATTCACCAGTGGTCTATCGGTTAACGGCTTCGGCTCGAAACTGGTAGGTCCTGGGTTCGAATTCCGCGAGAGTGCGTTCGTGGATGCGCACTGCTGAGGATTCCCATAATAGGACGAAACGGCCGTCCAGTGCTTCCAGGTTTTCCATGGTGGTCTAGCTTCCATTGACTCATGATCTCAACTCTATAACTTACTAAAATCTCCACAAAACCCCTTGTGACAAAGAATAAAGTATTAGAAATACACTGAGGAATTGTTTCATCCTGATTAAGAACTCTTTAAGGATTTATACTTGATACTCTATACTGTATGGAATACATGACCTTTAAATCATTAATAATCTGGGTTTGAATTATCTCATGGTTGCTTCTCAAGACCGTATTTTAATCAGTCTTTATTGTCATTTATACAAACTGCCTTTTTATACCCTATATATGATAACTCAATTTCATACTCATCACAATACTAAGATAGTATTCATTGAACACGTTAGTAGCTTCATAGATCCAGTAGATAGGGCGATAACATGTTGGACGTTTGAAGTGAGTGACACTAAACTGAAGTCTTAGTATGAATTTTAGCACTTGGATTCAGGTACATTTAAATGATGATTCCTTAAGTTACTTCTTCTGTACTATGAGTAGTAAATAGTGTACATGACTAAATATAAGTCACTAACAATATGTTTCATAATTTATTTGCTTATTGTTTCTTTCGGTGATGAATATTAGTATAGAAACTTCCAGTTGTTAATTAGAAAAAGAGTTAAAGATAGCGGCAACAGTCAAATAAGAATAATAATTCCTTAAACTCGCTGAACTAATAAGCAAATAACTGACAATGAGAGAACGTTACTTTTCATGAAATCTGATACTTTCTAGGTTATTATCATTGTGTAACTCTATCCATTCATATTTACATCTTTTATATATATATATGGCACCATTAAACCCATATTGGACTAAAGGAATTTGAGACAAACTGTTGTCTCATTGAAATTTGAGAAATATAATGAGAGAGAATGAGTATGTGAGTTAGAACAACAAATGAAATGTTTTATCCAATGAAACTAAGGGTTAATCATATACCTATAAGAAATCTGATATCCTAACTAATTCCTACTACATACACTATAAAAGTAGGTTATATTAGGTCAGAATAAACTATTCATTATTTCACCAGTTATACGAAGATCGGAAACTTTTCCAAAGTCTTACTCTGAAGCATAATTACTGTAAACGCTACTGCTTATATTTGAAACATTCACCACGCTAGATCATCAGTAGTTAACAATCTTCTACAAACGGACAATGAATTCAACTACTGATGATAAAACTATTCTTACTGAAATTAATGAAAGTCCTATAACTGAGTCTAATCCACCAACCACTTCTTCATGTCACAACTCTTTCATTAATTCATCATCTTCACCATCGTCTTCCTGTGCTACAGATTTATGTGCTTGGTGTCAAAAACCAAATCTTCAAACTTATAAATATAGTTCATTTTATCAGTCTGTTAGTCTAAACAATACTAAATATAAAATAAAACCTGTTCCAGTTTGTTGTTCACAAATATGTTTTGATAATTTACGTCGTGCTTATTTCAAAAATCGTCGCCATCAATTAAACAATCAATTAATAAATGAAATACCTGCTATGGTAATTTCTGGTCGATTGCCATATACATCAGATTCGGATAAAGAAAAAACCGATGGTAAAAGACAATCAAATTTATCTTATCATTCAAATACGAGTTGCAGCCCACCAGTTACCATTTCTAATACTACTACTACTAATAATAAATTATCATCAAAGAAACGATTACATAATCAATATTCTGAGCAACAGCATCATCTATCACAGGATACTTTTCTTAAATCTTCTACAAATAATTCTCAATTTCAACAGAAATCTTTAAATGAAAAGTCAAATTATGATTTATTTTCAAATTTCCAACTATATTCACAATTATACAACTACATAAAGAAAAATAATATTGAAATGTCTATTCCATTATATGATTATATTATACAACGTCTTGATATGAATCACTTTATAAATAATTTCAAGAATAACATAAATATAGATCATATTCCTAGGACAACTATAACCGATACAAATACTACTGATAGTACTACTACTACTACTACTACTACTACTACTAACAATACTGATCATGATATAAACATTAATCCTGTAACTATTGATAATTTGAATAATGAATTAATCCATTCAAATTTAGAACATAATCAATTAAATTATTCAAATATAGAAATTATGAATGTAATAAATCAATTATTAATATCATCAATTAAAAATGATAATCATATAATTAACAATGAAATGATACATACTACTACTACTAATAATAATAATGATCTAAATTGTTTAAATCAATTACTTATTATTCCAATACCTATACCAATATTTAAAATGGCACCAAATTTATTAAATATTTTACATCACTATGGTTATCATTCAATGAATTCATGTAAATATAATAATAATAATAAACAATTGAATAATAAAGATGCAATGACTCAAACAATAAATTTAAACAAAATTAATAATGAATATAAACAAACTAATGAATTTAATAAAACAGAATTAATTCATTATTTAAATAAAAACAATGAAAAAGCATTAGATTTAAGTTCAACAAATGTAAAAAAAGCTCCTTATTTAAATAAACAATGTTTTAAACAATTAAAACAACAATCTTTTAATTATAAATTTCAAAATAAAAAAAAATTATATTCTAATAAAAAATTATCAAAACAAATATATTTTTCTGGTATATATAAATTAATTCATCCTATAACAAAACATTGTTATACAGTTAAAATTATACCAATTAAACGATAGTTAATTATATAATAATAATGAATATGTAAATATATTTGTATATTTTGAAATTTAAAAACAAAACAAGAACTAATGAACAATAGTTCAATGTTCAATATATTACTTTCGGATCGTTTAAAGATGTTCATCATATTAAAAGATTAATATTTGGATGGAAAAAATAATTCTTTTGACATATTCTCTTCAGGTTCTACAATTCTATATTCAAGTTAATAATCTGAAAAAAATGATCAAGTTAGGAGTAAAGTATATGTAACCCATATTTGTTCTGATCATGGATCTTAAATTTTCACTTAACATATATACAGATTCAAATTAACAATCTATATGAGTTATATCAACATTACCAACTTTATATAAGAACTTTCGTCTAAATTAGGGCGAATAGTTTCACAGTATTTGGGCGCCCAGTTGATGTAATACTTTAAATAGAAGTAATATATTTGTAAAATCTCAGCGAATGAAAAGCTTGGACCAGGTTGCCAGGCGAAACGTTGGATTTACTTCGAATCGATTCACTGAGATTTTACAAAGATATTATTCTTTTTTAATTAAAAGTTTTATTCTATTTTGTTTGATAATTCTAAATTCACATACATTAAACGACGTACTTTGTCTTTAACCTGGCCATTTTTTCGGATTATAAAGTTGGATATATATATATTGTAGAAGCTGAAGAGAATTAATCGAAAAGAATATTCTTTGTTCAAATATTAGTCATTTAATTACTTTTGATTTATAATGTTTACTTTAAATTTAATATGAACATAATTAAAGTTTTTTTTTTAATCAATTTAGTCTGAAATTAGTTGTTTTTAATTTATAAACGCGGATCTTATTCTGTTTAAATATATTGAATTCAATAAATTCATAAATTTTTTCAGTGATTTTACAACGGATGTTATTCTGTATCAAAAATTGGTATATGTCGAACTTAGATTTTTAGTATGTCGCGTAATACTTAAGCACTCGAACGCTAGAACCCTCCCAAGTCGTAAAATGAGAAGACATAAGACTAGTAAGTAGACATGTTATTCCAAACAGTGTCAAGTATAGTACAAAAATGTCATGTATTTATAGTTTTTTGGCCGAAAGTAACTCATCCATTCGGATAGCCAATAGGCACATAGTAGGTCCTTCTTATTCATATAATAGGGAAGCTACACATCGACATCCTAGAATGCTCCTCTAGCGGTGATTGCATGGAATATCTTAAGCTCTTCCTGGGCTTCTTGAGTTTGCTAACGAGCCACCCTTACACTTCCCGTTTTTTGAAAGATCCGGAGTTGATATTATGATTTTAAATTTCCCCAATTTATCCTGATATACCCAAGTTACCATTAATGTGACATTATTTAAAACATATTTGTCACATTTAACAGAGAATCCACCAGAACTGATTAGATCCTGAAGATCGAAAACATTTGATTTGAAGTCACTAGCGTCTGATTTTTCTTAACAGTTTCCTTGAATTTATTCGGAACCTCGTTAGTAGATAATGAATCATTGGAATAATTAGTATCTCGTGGAATTTTATGAATGGTAACTTTGAAACCAATATGGTGTATATATTTCCTATTATATAGTTGTTAAGTAACTAAAGTATCCATATTCCTGTCCCTCTTATTATAAGCTTTGTTTTAACTTATAGACTATTATTATATGATTTACAATTCTTGAGTTATCCCTAGTCCATTAGTTACTATTCCCCTTATTCACAGTCACATTTGGCCAAATCTTGTACAAATGTTATCTTCTATTTTATGGTACGATGTGGTCAGTTTGATTGGTATATAAACCCAGTATGTTTGAGAATAATGATTCATATTGCAGAGGTTGTTATTTGTGTTCTGGACTTAACTGGCTGGGCTAGGCAGAAAGTAGAACTGATAAGTACTCAAGACTGCTCATACAGTTTTCGTGTATCACTGGTCCAATCGATAAATTCGCTTGTCTCTAATAGGCGGGTACAAGATAATATCAATTGCTCAGGCACGCACTTTTTTTCCTTTATTATGCACATTACCATCTTAACAAAGTTATAATTTGTAATCTTATCTAAGTATCAACATACTGTTGATCTAGTTAAACATAAGCTACTTGTCAATGATAACGGTTTCTTTCTGTAAACATGAGAAGAATTAATTGAGTTATAAGAGTAATGTGAAAGTGAGTGTTATCGTTATAGTTCAAGAGAAGTAAGTCATAAAAATTGAAATCAGCAGTCGGTTAAACACCTGGATTATTGATCTACTGTTTGAAAAATACTTTTCCTTACATTTACTGATGAGGATTCTTTGCATAGTATAGGCGTATAGTTATTCCTCGTCAGATAATGCTATTCGTGGAAGTTATGAAAAAACCTATGATGAATGAATCAAGTCGAGGACAAGTCTGCATTAAACAGTCACTCAGCCACATGCAGTAGTTGATCTACAAATATATCAGAAACAATCGTATTCAGTAAATCTACAATTCTACAATAAAACTAAGTCACAAAAAATACAAATGAAATTTATTATGAAGCAAAACAATATGATTCGATTTTCATTTTACTGGAAACCTAATTACAGACATATTCAAATAAACCGAAAAAGAAGATTGACTGCAACCAACTACAGTTTATTGATTACCCAATTAAAAAAAACAATAATTTTTCCTTTATCCTCTCTATCGCGAACGACTTAAATATTGTGGTGTGGTCTACTTATATCCATATAAGTAGTATATGGTGTTGGTCAGACATATAATGTATTTATGAAGACCGATGAGGAATGAACTGAAATGAAGCGCAATTGATAGGAAAATACACAAACAATGGAATAAGAGAAGAAACAGTGAAGATTGAGACAATTGGTTGTTAATTTGCAAATTAACTGTTCATTGTATAGTTATCAGAATTTACTGAGATAGTCTGTAATTTTTGCTTAAATACATTCGATTGTCCCAACCAGTGTTCTGTTCACTACAATATCAGGTACTAAGTTGTTTTCAATCTTGTCTCTTTTTTTGACAAATTCACTTTAGAAGATAAAATTATATGAAAAATGTTGAAAATACAATTAATGTTAATTCATTACTTCTTTTAGTGAACCTACTCACTGTAGTATTATGGAAAATTCTAACAAAATATTTCATAAGTTAAGATATCATGTATTTTATTTAGAGCTTAGGTATATAACATTACAATTGGAGAAATTTAAGAGTTGTTTTACTATAGTAAAATGTAAATTGATGAAGTTAAAAGTAAAATGGGATTTTAGAAATAATTTGTTCTATTGATCTTCTTCATTTTGTTCAATATTCCATCTGTTCAAAAAATTTAATATTATGTAAAATTAAATTCACCTAGTATTGTTTGTTTGAAACTTCCCATAGATGTTTAGGACTGCAACTGGTCAGTTTCTTATTGGCATACGTGCATACCATGTGTATTGCCTCGATATAGCCTAAATTCACAAGCATGGTAAGCAAAAATGGATAGTGGCCAGCAGTGGAATACAGGATGCGCGTTTCGTCCTATTTGGGACTCGTTAGCTGGATGTCCCCGGTTAATTGCAGTCCTAAACATCAATGGGAAGATTCAAACAAACAATACTAAGTGAATTTAGATTTCACACCATTGCACAAGCAAGTGGCTATCAGGACTCAGTACCTGAGTTGATAACGCGATGGCGATTGAAGCGAAAGGTACTGGGTTCCAGTCCCATCAACCCTGAGATGCAAATACATTCAGCTGATGAGTTCCAAATAGGACGAAACGCGCGTCCTGGATCCCACTGCTAGCCAATATCTATCTTTGCTTATTATCTAAAATTATTAAATAGATGTCAAAAAAATTTATTACCATTCATATGAATTAGTATTTTGTCCTTGCTAATATTCAAGAATTAATATCATCAATCTCCTTTAATATACAGACTCCCAAAGTGGATTTCTCAGTATTACCTCCAGATACAATTTTAAATATATATTATTAAACAGTCACTATCAGTGAAATCAGTACACATTTCTCATCAAGTGTCAAATTTGTTGTATGTATGATACTGTATTATTATTAATATTTTTCCTCTTGACGTAATATGTATCTGATTCAAGTTTTAGTGTGAATACTAACAGGGATTTGTAAATACTTTCAGTCTATGAGTTTCCAAATATCATAAAAGCTACATTCTCATTATAATATTGCCTAGTAACTAAAAAAATTCAACAGAATAATGAAGAAATAAACAATTATAAGTATAGTAATGATTTATTATGCTTAAACTTAAATCAATGCTTATAGCTTTAGATCATTATGTACATATACAATGTGGAAAACAATCACAGAAACCTATAATAGTAAATTAATTATAGACATAGTTTTTTTTTAAAAAAAAGCAAATCATCTGATAAAACAATTTGCGAAAGTTCAATATTCAAAGCATGTTGTGAAATAATTTCTATCAGAAAAAAATTAAATAAAAATTATAATAAATTAATTACCAAGAGATAAATATTAATTAATATTAGTTTAAAAATCCCTGAATATAAATTACAATCAGAAGAGGTTAATGTGAATATTATAGTAATTTTAATAGTTCAGATCATGATTCAATCGAAGCTAGATGACCATGGAAAACCTGAAAGAACTGAATGACCATTTCGTCTTATTGTGGGACTCTTACTCAGCAGTGCGCATTCACGATCTCACCTCGCGAAAAAAACGGCCATCCAATGCTTCCAAGTTTTCCATAGTGGTCTAGCTTTTATTGACTTATGATCTCAACTATTAAAATATAAATTAATTTAATACAATGAAACTGAAATTTTAAATCATTCATGATCATTGATAAATATAATCGATATCTTTTTAAAAAAAAACGAAAGTAAACAAATTCCAATTAAAATATTAAAAGTGAAAATATTGTTTAAATAATAAATATTTTGTACAAATAATGATTTTTATACACATTGGATGTATTTTTTTTTGTTTTCAACATTTCTAATAAGAAGTTTGTATTGAATGAGAACAAAAAAAACAACCAAACAAAAAAATCAATAACAAAACAACCAAACAAAAAAATCAATAACAAAACAACCAAACAAAAATAAAATCGATTTTTAAGTTTTATGGAGAACGTATAATATCATAAACTTGTTGATGAATATTAGAAATTCGATTATTATTGATTAAATTATTATTAGTATTATTATTATTCGAATGAATGAATTTGTTTAATAATGAATTATCAATTTTATTATCATTAAAATTAAAATTATTATTTTGGCATTGACATAATTTATTGAAATGAGCATTTGAATTAGATTGTATTTGTTGTAATAAAGAAATAATGAATTCACGTAATTTAGTTAAACTCTGAAAAACAAAAAAAATAAATTATGCAATAATAAATAAATTTTAGTAAATATATTTATATATATACGTCATAGTAAAATCTGAAAACCATAAAGTTATTACTTCATTTGCAAAATGACAAGTCAGTTGTCTCAGAATTTGTTGTTTTTTTGTTTCCACATTAATCATTCTCTGTTCTTGTTCTCTCTTCTTCGATCTTCTTAACCTTCTGACGCCAGACATTTCACCATTTCATTTTCGATAGATGATACATACTACTCATATTTGTCAATATCAAAAGCACACACCAAGATAATAATAAAAATATTTCATACTTACTATTTGTTATATCCCCCGGTGATCTGGATCACCAATGCTTTGCATATGCGTTGAAAGTGGATGGATTAATCACAGAATTTCACGCAGAGCTGGAAAATGATCGCAGCCTCCATGAATCCTCGACCAGCCGCAACTCAAACGAAATAGCATTCTCTCAAGAGACGCCCGGTTGTCCATCACTACTCATTTCAGAAACGTGCCCGGTAGTGAATTCAAACCCCACTATCCCTGAATTAGCAGGTCCAAACAGTGGCGCTTCCAGCTCTCATCAACATGATGCCATGTCAAATGCCCATGAAATGGTCGTACTAACCACCCAAAAAGTACCAGACATAATATCGAGCAGTACACGGAGCGAACCGCATTCTGCAATAGAAATTTTTACCGAATCTAATGATAAAGATTCCCAATCTTGTCCAGAAAATTTGTTACATGCATCAAATCTGGAACCTAGCGCAGTTTTGGTGGACGCTGTTTATCATAGTGATCCACAACCTGCCAGTGATGTTTGCAATAAGTCTAATGACTACATTTCTGCAGAATCAAATTCTGACCTCACATCAAATGTCGATCCTCACCATCCAGTCAATCTTAGCAGGTTCCCTATGGAATGCCAGAAACATGTTATAAATAGAATCGCATTATTAGAAACTTGGGTATATGAGGATCCAAAACTATTTCGTGAGGGAGGAGGAGCTCGGATTTCTCAAAAAGGGGAGGTGTTATATCCCCCGGTGAATTACGAATGTTAACTTTTAGGTCTATTTATCGACCAATGTATTATGTCTATTTCCTATTGTACAATTGTTACGTAACTAAACTATTCATATTCGTGTTTCTCTTATCATGAGCTTTATTTTGATATTTGATTTATTATCATTCGATTCTTGAGTTATACTCAGTTATTGATTACTTTAGTTTGTATAAAATCCCAGTATGTTTGTAAATAATGATTCATACCACTGTGGCTGTTATTGGTGTTTTGGACTTAATTGGCTGGGCTAGGAAGATCGCAGGGCCGATACGTACTCTAGTCTGCTAGTACGGGTTTCGTGTCGCTGTTCCAATCGACAATTCGCTGCTCCCTGTTAGGCGGTCTTATCGCGTCACACATTAGGAAGTCATCCACTCGACCACAAGCATAACACTATTAAATGTATATTTCAATCTATGCGATTATTTAATTATGGATAAATTGAATGCATAAATTTAGTGTGTTCAATGACAAAAATTAACTATCTTTAAGAATTAATATTGATTGAAACTTTCTAAAATTTCACTCTTAAACGATGAATGTACAGAGGACTTTATTTTTGAATTATTATTTTTCTTCTATATTGTATGAAAAGAGAAAGTGGAATTCTATATGAATGACTTTTCTTTTATTGAATTATTTTTTCGTACTTTTCTGAATACAGAGAACATCAATGGAAATTTTTTGAAATAAAATATTAAATAAATTCATTCAGTATTGTTTGTTTGAATCTTCCCATCGATTTGTTAGGACTGCAACTGGTCAGTCTCTAATTGGCATATGTGCATACTGTGTCCATTAAATAAATAACAGTTATTTGAATAATTAATAGTACAGTGATATAGCCCTCATCATCATGTAATAATGAATAAATTTCATTGCATTATATATATATATATATGATAAATTTACTTGGTATTCTTTACATGAATCTTCGTATTGATGTTTGGGACTGTGAATTCATCAATCTTTTATTGGCATATGTGCATCCTATGCGGATTGCCTCGATATTGCTTTAATTCACAAGCATTATGAACAAAGATGGATAATGGCTAGCAAAAGCAAATGGCTATTAAAACTCAGTAGCTAAGTGGATAATGCGATAGTTTTTGAAGTGAACGGTACTGGGTTCCAGTCCCAGAGTGTACATTAAATCTGAGATGAAGGTACATTCAGTTGACCATCCAAAATAGGACGAAACGCGTGTCCTGGATTCTACTGCCACACACTATTCATCTTTTTTTTATATAAATGATAATTTACAATTTCTTTTTTCACAACTAATTATGAAAGATTGATGGTTCACACTAAATTCAGGCATTCAATTTATCCATCATTAAATAATCGCCTAGATTGAAATATACATTTAATAGTAAGTATGAAATATTTTTATTAGTATATTGGTGTGTGCTACTGATATCGACAAATATAAATAGTATGTATCATCTACCGAAAGTAAAATGGTGAAATGTCTGGCGTCAGAATGTTATGAAGATCGAAGAAGAGAGAACAAGAACAGAGAATGATTGGTGTGGAAACAAAAGAACAACGAACTCTGAGACAACTGACTTGGCATTTTGCAAATGAAGTATTAACTTTATGGTTTTCAGATTTTACTATGACATTCCTTAATTTCTTATTCAAGTACATTCAGTTTTCCCCACTTGTGTTCTCGTTTACTGCAATATAACAGATATCTATCTGAAACTAGTTAGTTATAAATATCTGAGGTATTCTATTATAAAATTACCAGATCACATTAATGAATTGAGTTTAGCTAATTAATAATCATTGAAAGTCAGTTAGTAACAAAAACTATGAGCTAAGATATCTGCACTAAGTAAGAAATTTCACTTCAGTTTACTTTCGTCCATATACATTCATGACTACATAAAATGCTGTCTAGTCGTAAATTCTTATTCATAAAGTGGAAACCATAAGTATTAAAGTTTCTTTTTTACCAACTACAATTATTATATTTTGGACTTTTGTATGTAATAATCGACATCCCTGTTATGCCTGAGTCAATTGTTATGCCTGAAGCTAATCGATTCCGCGGTAACGAACGAAAGCCAATGACACAATGACACGATAAGCTTTTCTAATCGGTTGTCCCAGGCCCCGCTAACTAGATGAAGAAGTCCAAGGCAAGTAGGGGAATATATATGTATTCCGTAAGCAGCCGAGTACAAGCAATCGAATAAGGGAAAAAGTCAAGCGCATTTATACAACAACAATTTGTCCTTGAGCATCATTGGTAAATAGCACACACAAAGAAACAATGGACCAATAGCGTTTAAGACAGTTTACAAGTGGGAGATATGACGTGAAGGTAAAAAGAGCGCGTTTGGCGCGGAAACAGCTAAATTTAAATTTTCAAAATAAAATTACAAAACTAAGCCATTTACCAAGTAAGTTCTGGGGATTTGACATCCCCAACAATCCCCCGTAAAATACTTAGGTTATTGAGCAATAAACATAAATATTGAGATTGTTTTTTTTAGACATTTATCATGATCAAATGTTTTATATGATTATGCTTTTTCAAAAACTAGTAACCCTTATCCACATCTGTTACAGTTAGAAACAATATCACCAAATTAATGATTTTTTTGATGATTTTACTTATCACTGATATTAAATAAAAATTATCAATGGAAAAAAAGTAAGGATGAAAACTAGATACCTATCGACACCAGTTAATATATTCATAAGATTGTATAATCCTACAGAATATCTGTAGTGGTTCAGACAATACAATAATAAGTTTAACTGTGAAACTACGAGGTAAATTCCGAAATTCAGTGGATTATTTAAGATCTAATATAACGTGCTCCACAAGAGAAGTTGAATTAATATACATTGATAGATATTCTAGGGATTTGTATTTTTGGGCTCGCGAGCAACTGCCGTGTGATCAAGCGAAGGTATAGTTAAAACCCTTGACTGATCAATTTTATCACAGTTAGACATACAGCTAATACGGAGTAATAACTTACTATTATATATCGTGTAAACAACAATCTGCCTAAATCTATCACATCAAAAATACTTCAGACGGCTGAAGCAATAGCTAATCGGATAAAAAAGCTGGAGCTTTGTGTCCTGAAGATGTATGTGCAACTGCTCGTTTTACCTTGACCAACCTTTGGCCTAATTAATTAATAATCATTTTTATGATGTGGTGACGATAGATATCTAGTTTTCATCCTTACCTTTTTTCCATTGATAATTTTTATTTAATATCAGTGATAAGTAAAATCATCAAAAAAAATCATTAATTTGGTGATATTGTTTCTAACTGTAACAGATGTGGATAAGGGTTTCTAGTTTTTGAAAAAGCATAATCATATAAAACATTTGATCATGATAAATGTCTAAAAAAAAACAATCTCAATATTTATGTTTATTGCTCAATAACCTAAGTATTTTACGGGGGATGTCGATTATTACATACAAAAGTGCAAAATATAATAATTGTAGTTGGTAAAAAAGAAACTTTAATACTTATGGTTTCCACTTTATGAATAAGAATTTACGACTAATCATCATTTTTATGATGTGGTGACGTAATTCGACTAATGTTCATTTTCATAGCTTCAACTTATCTTATTGACACATATTATTATAATAACACTTCCAAAGGTTTTTGAGAAATTTACTTAGCATCCACCCTTATTTACTAATTCGTACTCAATTCATATTATTCCACATATTACGTGATTTCTGATTTGTAATTACATCATTATTTCACCATATTTATTCGGATTCTGTATATAAACTAACCTGTCTCCTTGTTAAAAGACGTTCTAAATCTTCACAAAGTAAATTACGTTCAGATGCTAACTTATCTCTTTCTTCTTTGTACAATAATGATCTTTTTTCAATATCTGCTAACTGATTATATAATGCATGAATTTGATTATCTTTTTGTGATATTGTCTGATATAAACAATTAGTTGGTTGATTAGTTATAGATTTCCAATTCATACTTTTTTTTAATTCCTGTCAATAAAATTATAAATAAAGCAATACTGAAGATGATTTGAAAATTTTTACAAAAAGTTATACAAATATTTGGATTTGATAATTCATCCACTGGTTTGGTAATTTTATATAGTTTAGATCATTAGTCAACTGAAGCTAGACCACCATGGAAAACCTGGAAGCACTGGACGGCCGTTTCGTCTTATTGTGGGACTCCTCAGCAGTGCGCATCTACGACCTCGCCTCGCGAGATTCGAACCCAGGACCTACTAGTCTCGAGCCGAAGCCCGTAACCGATAGACCACTGAGCTGGCATCCAACGGTGTTAATGTCTAACTTCAACCAATCCATGAAATTGAGAGAGACTGATAGGTCATTGGTTCGAATCTCGCGAGGCGAGATCGTGGATGCACACTGCTGAGGAGTCCCATAATAAGACGAAACGGCCGTCCAGTGCTTCCAGGTTTTCCATGGTGGTCTAGCTTCAATTAACTCATGATCTCAACCAATAAACTTACTAAATTCTCCACAAAACCCCTTCTGATCTATAATCATATGCTCACTAGTGATTGACTTCAAGGGATATTCTGGTTTTATGTTTAATGTTATGTCTAGTTTTAAACAAATTAAAGGATTAATATTTTTATTTAAATAAACTACTAAATGATCAATATTAATAATATATATTTCATCAGAATTCCTATTTTATTTATTACAATGCTTAGTAGTATTGCAACTCAATCTGTAGCCCCTCTAGGGTGACTATCAGTGCTAGTCCTGAGTAAAAGAGGAGGGTTGGGCATTGAGTAAGCATCCTCACACCGTACAAAACAAGCTCGCTAGAAAGACTTTAACCAGAATAAACAATTTACACCATTTAAAATCTGCCCTCCTAGTCGAAGAATCTTCTTTCAGAAGAATTATGACACTACATGGTGAAAACTGAGAAAGTTCGGAAGAAATGAGGCCGGTGACTCTAATAACAACCAGAGCAACAATTAATATGAGTACATGGAATGTTCGGACAATGTGGGAGATCAGGAGGACCAATTAAATAGCTGCGAAAATGAGGATATACAACTTGGTGGTTCTCGGAATCAGTGAAACCCATAGGACCTATGCTGGACAGAAAAGGATAGATTCGGGAGAGATGCTTCTGTACCCTGGTTACGAAGATGAAAATGCTCCCCACACACAAGCAGGCAGTTTCACTGATGTAGTCCAAGGAAGCACGAATAGTACATATTGGATGGGAGTCTCATGGATTCACGATCATCAAGACATCATTCAAAACAAAGGAGGGGATCAGAATGAATGCTATCCAGTGCTACGCACCCACCAATGATAGCATTGAAGATGATAAGAAACAGTTTTGCGAGAGGCTAAGATTGATCACAGAGAATTGCTTGGGAAAGAACCTGACAATCCTGATGGGTAACGTATACACTGAAATTGGTATGGACAACAGCGGGTATGAATATATCATGGGATGACATGGACTGACTAGGAGAAAGGAAGGAAAATGGGGAGGGATCCACAAACCTATGTGCATTCAACAGATCGCTAACAGACGGAACAATATTCCAACACAAACATACACAAAGCTAAATGGGTCTCACTGGATTACACTACACAGAACCAGATCGATCATGTTTGTATCTTTAAAAAATTCATAAGGTCAATGGAAGACATGAGAACCAGGAGAGGAGCTGACATAACTTCAGATCACCACCTGATGGTTGCCAAGATCAAACTGAGGCTAAAGGAACACTGAAAAACTGGAGAAACAGCAGTACACAGGTTTAAGACAGCTTATCTCCGACATACTGACAAACTCAATCAATTCAAGAGAGTGGAAACCACTATGGAGAACAACTGGAGATGGATCAAAGAAGCACTTACTTCGACAAGTCAGGAGGTTCTGGGCATAATCATAAGAAATGGATCTCTATTGAGACCATATACGCATGATTTAAGAAGGTAAGAACAAGAAGACGGCAATTAACAACAGGCGAACAAGAGCAAAGAAAGTCAAGACACAAGATGAATACGCAGAAGCAAACAAGCAGATGAAGAGGAGCGTTTGAGCTGACAAGCGGAAATACGTAAAAGAACTAGCAACGACAGCAGTAAAAGCTGCAACAGAAGGAAATACCAAACAACTATATGACACAACGAAGAAACTGGTAGGGAAATATGATAAACTAGAGAGATCGGTTAAGGACAATAAAGGCAAGCCAATCATTGAGATTCATAATCATCAGAACGGGTGGGTAGAATACCTTGAAGAACTCTTTAATAAACCACCTCTATTGAATCGACCGGACGTCGAAACAACACACACAGACCTTCCTATAGATTTTACTCCACCAACGATCGAAGAAATCAACATCGACATCAGACAAATCAAGAGTTGGAAAGCAACAGGACCTGACAATTTACCAGCTGAAACACTAAAGTTGTTCCATGAACTTCGCCTTATTTATGAAAGATCATGAAATCTTGTAATAAAATAGCTTCATTTAACATGTTGATAAAATTTGTTCCATCACTATCTATCAGAAATGAATTCATTTGACAGAATGCAGGCGATATTAAAAACAGATAGGTTGGTATCAAATATCAGAAAGGTTTCAAATTCCTAATGTAAGGTACATACTATTAGCAGAAAGGTAAACGAGTACCTCTGTATACATAGAAAAGTTTTTTTTCTTTTATGCTGTTTGATGAAAGAATAGGGAAATTGAGATGAAAAGGATCAAATTACTCTAATTTAGAACGTTCGTCAAGCATATTCTGATTAAAATATACACACATAGAGTCAAATAAAACAAATATAAACAGACTACAGGAAAGACAAATTGAACCATCTTTACGCACACATATAAACAAACAAAGCAATCTATGTAGGATTAAACGGTGAATAAGAAAATGTTAACAGTTAATTGTTCCCGTCGGCTTTAATTATGAAACTAACAGATGATGGAAAAAACAATAAGAAGCGTAATCAAATAATCAGACTTCGTTACAACATAGTGCACTTAAGGTAACTCAGAAGACAAACAATCATCGGGATAAGACAGATGTTTAGAAAATAGGGTCTTAGTTATTCACAGAGATTAGTTGACCTCAAGATCCCCGAATTGGGATCTAACGGCCGAAGTTTTCTATTTCAATTCGTGATGTTAGGGGACTATTATCCATTGTCATATGTGATAACTGTCTCACTATAGATATGATTGATTTTAACTAGTCAGGGCTTCTTTTTAACATCCCAAGGTGACAATCTCCACAAACATTCCTTCGTATTAAGCTAAAGGAACTCTGAAAATAAGATTATTGTTTTGTTGCTGAGCAAGACCATAGTCTTTAAACAGATCAACGTTGTATCGAAAAATTAATAAGAAATTATACTACTATTAATAACCAGGGTTAAATATGAATTAAAAACACTAATTAAATTGTTGAATGACAGGGGATGCTGGTTTAGAGTTTTAAAGGTTAATTAAAGTCCACTGATCAAACAATTCATTGTAGTCATTGAACTCAATGGTAATTATATCACTTATGGACTATCTACCATTTATTTTATTCAGAAAAATATTGAAGTACTGTTGGATTTTTTATAGAAGTAATTACATTTCTCAATGATTTATTTGAAGTAGACATAGTGTTAACTATCTTCTTTTCATAGCGTAGACTAAACAACTAACCACTCATTCGGTACTTAAAAAACCAGGTTAGAGTTCATCAAAAATTAACATTTCATTAGCATAGACTCTCACTCCCAGCTTATGCACTGATATTTTTTTTCTGATGATTATAGGATGGTTTATGAAGATTGCAAAGTTTTCCCAGTTTACGACCCGGATTGATCCAAGACAGACAACCAAAGAAAACTCCGGACATCTGTTTCGTCCTAGTATGGGATGTTGGCTCAGCGGTCTATAGGTTAGGCACTCTCCACCAAACGAAAGGTCTTGGCTAGGAACTCCATTCTGCTCTTGGATGTGCGCTGCTAAGAAGTCTCATACCAAAACAAAATAGTTGACTAGTATTTTTAGGTTTTCACTGTTTGTCTAGCTAAAATCAACCAGTGACATAAACCGTGAAAAATCCTTTTCTTCCAATCAAAACAAAAAAGGTGAGTACATTAAAAAAAATATTTACCTCAATTTCTTGACACTTTTTGACAAGTTCATTTTGCAGGCTGCTAACTTCCGATTTCAATTCTTGTATAGTTTTGAGTAAATAAACAGAATTTATCTTTGACTTGGAACACAAATCATGAGAAAATGCTGAGATGTTAGTTAATTTAGTACTGTCACAGTGTATGTTTAACAATAATTCATTCATCTCTTTCTCATTTATTTCAAATAAATGCAATCTCTTTTCATAATCTTCCTCTTTTATTTTCCAGATAGTTTTCTCTTGATTGAAACGGGATTCTAACTATTGAAATATTAGAAGGAAATGGAAAACAATTGACTTGAGCTTTGAACATATGAGAAGAAAAATGTTATTACTTATAACAATTTTAAGTAGTATAACGTAATTATAGAAAGTTCTTTCGTTTTTCGATGGTTTCACGCAACCTTTTAATCCATTTAGCAATCATCCACTGATAGTATGCTCAAAAACAGAATACTGATTTTTGTACAGACTGAAGCATTTACAAGTCAACTTTCATTTGGGAATCCAGAGGAAACATGTGATAAAAACAGTCCTACTAAACTTGTTAGCGGGAAGTAAACCGGATTAAGGCACGTTATGTGCATGATTGTGACGGCGTACGGTGATTGACTAATTCCAAACCAATCAGCTCTGGCAGATTATTGGAGAAGCATCTAGAAGGTTCTTATGCATATACAATAAATATATGAACGTTTTTTAATCATTGATCGCTGTTCACCTACCCTTGTTATTTTGAATACAATTTCGTTCTTGTTCAACGTGTTCTGATTTTGGGGTCTTGTCGAGTGTCATTGTATAAAAATACCAGGCAATAGGAGTAGCTGGGTCGTTTATAAGGAAAAAACAATTATAACAAAACTGAACATGGAAATTTAGATTGATACCAAGATGTGATCAATTATATATATGATTACATGTTCCAATTCAAATTAGTAACTCTAGGCATTGGATCATCCTAAAAATAACTTTAATAATGGGTTGATTTTATGCTTGATTTCTTTATGTATTTAAATTAGGTAATATAAAAATAACAAGTATTCAATCATTTTTAGTTCGGTTCACTAGCCCTAATAATTAAACATCGAAATGCCTTAAACATTTAAATTATAAAATCGTAACTTACTTCATAGTATAGTTTTTTACTAACATCTAATTGAGCATTAAGTTTTTCAACTTCTAAAGATGCATCTTTTCTAGCAGTTTGTTCAACTTCTAAATTAATTATTGCTGTTTTGATTTGTTCACGTAATTGATTATCATGTTCATTGTTCAAGTACTTATTAGAACTTTTCATTTCATCAATCTTTTCTTTGTATTGATTTAACAAACATTCTGTTTCTTTTAATTGTGATTTTAAATTTGTACATTCAGATATGACGTTTTCTTTTTGTTCTCGAAGAAAGGTAAGTTCTTTGTTGTGTATTTCTTGATCAATAGACTATAAAGTGAACAAGATAGTTATGATACTTTTTAATATAGAACATGAATTCAAACAAAATAATACATTGGTTCAATGTACCAAAAGTTATTTTCATTTCTGCAAGTCACTTGCTATCAGATTATATAGGCCTCAACGCATATAGGAATAAAAATGTATCAAATAAGAAAAAATGTGTCAGCCAAAGAATAAATCTACGTCAACAACTATGAAAAACATGAGCCAGATTATTTAGTTTGTTTAATATTTGATTTTAGCCACATTGCAAATCTTGGCCGGGAGAAGGCAGCTTCCTCCAACAAACCACAACCACATCAAACTTTTTCCTCTATGATAATGCAACTCTAACTGTTAAAGCATTTTGAACAAGATGATGACATGGTGAATGCTATAGCCAATTAATTTATTCTTGTAGTTTCATTGACTGACTTCTTTTGTTTGCCACGGATTTTGGAAATAACTTCAATAATGCTAGTCTTATAATTTCAAAAAGAAGGAAAAAAGGATAGATCAGATTGCGTTTACATACTTACGAATATTTGTAACTTTATTGATTTCCTTGGTTTTACCGTTCTTAATGGTTGGTTTTATTGGTCACATTGATACATTCTCAGGATAAAATATTATTTTTAACTGTTGTAAGCTTACATTTTTCGATCTTTCTGAAACTGACTCACTCATAGAAGCTCTGTTGTTAAGACACAATCGCTGTGTAGTTTTTCTATGATTTACGTTTGCTATAAGATAAAGCTCTGGATTCAATATTGTTTGAGGTTTCATATTAAGATGAAATAATTGTTCAGTGCTCTCTAGTTGTCAATGGTGCTAATAATCTCTACATACTTGAGAGCAAGAAAAACTATTTTTATTTATTTTTTATGATGCGTCGCTGCGACGCTGAGCATAAAATACCCGCTATTATGTAACCACTTAATTATAACTGTTTGGCCTTTTCATTACAGATGTTATAAAATTTTCGTCCACATGTGATATAGATTTGTGATTTTTCTAGTCTCTGAAACTCATTTGCATCTCAGCCATACTGTGATTACAATCGGTTCCAAATACATTCCTCCATGTAAAAAATTCCAGCCTACTTTTACTACATTTTGTAAGCAGCTGACGAAAGCTTAATAAAAGAAAATGAATTCATGTTATTCTGCTTAAGTGTTCGTTTTTGGTCTATTTTAAATGATAAAGGGAGCCATATGCATGAAATCTCTACATACATTCATTCCAATAATATAATCCTAACCTGAGTAAGGCTACACCGGAATAAAATAACCAATGATTTAGTTAGTCATATGTAACATAGGATATTGTACATATAAGCAGCGGTTCATGTTATCACACCACATTGACACAGTAAAATAAAATAATCAAGACTATTCCCAGTGTAGTAGAAATAGAGACAGCACCAATAATAGAAAACATTAGGTATTGAAAGAAAAGGAAACGGGTGGAAATTTCAGGACTCAGAATCTAAAAGAAGACAAAGAATGAACTTATCTCCACTATTAAGAATAATAACTTACAGTAATATCACTACTGTTCTTTATATTCAAAGTAATAATTTACACCTACCTTTAATCGTTCAAATTCACTTTGAATTAATTTGCTTAATTCACCAGTTTGGTTTCTAATAGTTGCATTCAAATCCATTGGTAATTGAGTTTGACAAGAGAAACAAGCATTTTTATTCATTTGATTTAAATTATTTTCTAATTCAATAATTAATTTTTGTTGTGAAGCAATTTTTTCTTCAGATGTTGATAATTGAATACGAAGATTTGATAGCTAATATTCAAAAACGGAATATAAATGATAACTTATTGGTGGGAATAAAATTCTTGATAAAAGCACATAATATTTTTGCAAATGTTTATCTTTTGCTAGATAGGTTTGTGCTCTCAGAGATTGATGGAATAAATGTGCAGCATTTAATGTCATCTTAAACAACATCATCTATGTGATACTATTGTTCAGGGCAACAAAAGAAGAACGTAATATCACCAAAAGCATTTATTCGAATGACAAATATTTATTTTAGTATGACAGATGTTTCCATAGGGAAAAATTAAATTTGAAGCGTAAGCAAGATGAGTCTATCATCCTGAAGAATGCTATTTGACCACAGAACTATTCGGATAGGTAACTACTTTGTAATATGTGACATTGAATTTATTGCATTATCATCTTGCTTCACAAGGTCTAGTAACCAACGCTACCAGATTCGAGTCCCTAGGAGAACATCGAATCTAGGATGCGGGTACATCCATCCGACGAGTCCCAAATAGAACGGAATGCACATCTTGGATTCCACTGCTAGCCACTATCCATCTTTGCTTAAAAGGTATTTCTAATATTGTAAATAATAATTTTTCTTTTTAACTGTTGGTACTCTACTATTTCAAAATGACTTTTATGTGTATATAAAAATGAGTTAAGTGTTTTTTTTTAACTTGGTAGTTTGTGAACGGTTGAATCGTCAGAAGTCTTCAACTCTCAAGAGCATTGCTACTAGACGAAGATAATATTATGTTAAGAATAATATCAATATAAGCACTTTGTCCCAAATAGGACGAAACGCGCGTCCTGGATTCCACTGCTAACCACTATCCATTTTTGCTTACCATGCTTGTGAATTAAGGCTATATCGAGGCAATACGCACAGTATGCACATATGGTCAATAAGAGACTGACCAGTTGCAGTCCTAAACATCAATGGGAAGATACAAACAAACAATACTAAATGAATTAAAAAATACCTGTTTTAAAAAATATTCTTTATCTATTTTCATTAAATGAATTTGTTTTCGGAGAACTTGTAATTCAACAGAATCGTCATTATCACTAATATTAAGTTTATCACCATCAATAATGTTTCTATTCAGTTTAGTGTTGATTTTCTCAATATGATCATCATCATTCTTATCCAAATTATAATTATTTGTAATATTAGATTGAGATTGATTAGATTGTTTTACAGGTTGATTACATTTCATCAATTGTACAGTTGATAATGATGAGTTAGGTGATAATAATAATGTTGTATCAACAAATTGTACATGTTTACGATTAGTTTCAATGTTAGAATTTTTATTATTAATATTATTATGATTAAAATTCTGTATAAAATAAGCAGAGGAATTAGAAAATAATGAAGGATATAAATGGAGAATACTTGGTGTGCAAGCAGACAGTGTTTTATTCACAAAACCTTGGTAAATAGATATACGGCTTTATTTATCATTAATACACATAATATTATCATTCTTAGCTGACTATTGAGTATTTATGTTTGTCTGGCTTCGAGACAGTGATACTACTACCCAGCTGATCAAACTGAAGAGAGTGATGTGGGGTCCAAGCCTATGAACCAGTGTTTGGAAATTAAGTGACATAATCACTAAGCCACATATAATATAGAGTGAGTTTTCATTTTACTTCATCTTTGATCAGGTCCAGTTTTATATTGCAAAACTTTTCCATACCCTTGAGATTAAATTTTAATATGTAACAAATTAATAGGTAAATCGGTGAAAAACAAACAAATTTGTCCACATCTAATGAAACACCAGTTATGTGTAGGGTTTTAACCAAATAAACTATATCTGATGTTGAGGAAATTCATTTAAAGTAGACAATTTAACATCAATTAAATCGCCAAAAAAAGCCAAAGATACGGTGGATACCGTAACGATCCTCATTATTTGTGAAAAAATTAAGTTAGTATACAATGAATTCTAGACTTCATCCAACTACTGAGGTAATTCGATGATAATCCAACCATTCCATCAAACTGGTTTATTCTTCAAGAACTTCGAAGATTTAATATCTCAGACTGAAATGGTTGTTAAAATTTTAATGATTACTTAGTCTGTTTCGCTCAGAAGTTTGTTAGTTAAATATAATTTAGTTGGAAATAACATGTAGCATCTTTGTTTGATCTTCGATAATAATTAGGGTAATCGATTCCTGATTCTTCAAATAGAAAGTAATATACAGTCAATGTTAATAGAGTCCTATAAATTTTCAACTAACATCTTTTGAAATCAACACTTTCTAATTTTATGACTATTAAAATTTAGTAAATAATCTAATCAATTGAATTGACTTGTTAAATTCATTTGCATTCTCCAGATTCATTTCCTGATCCCACTATTTTGTCTGTATTGCACTATACTAACGAATTTTAGTACTTTGTATCATGATCAATAATTTTTGAAACTTTTTATGTACGATATTTCCTAACTATAATCAACTAATAATACCTAACATTTACACTTTATACAATATTTAGATCCATTTTCTTAATTGCAATGGCATTTTCTCCTCTATTTTCACATTGGGTCTCAGTTATGTGTATTATCTATTGAAATTATCTGTTCTGAACAGCTTGTTTATTTTGAACGTGTATACCATGATTTACTTCGATTAGTTTGAATAACTGTTCAACAAAACTGTATTTTTCCATTTTTATATATATATATATATAAATTTAATAGTTATCAAATTATTTGAATGCAGTTCTTTTTCCATGGTGTCTTTGACAGCGTCATTGACATCTGGCCGCCATCCTATTCAATGTCTGTAAACTTTACATCATAATGATTTCGTTAATAGTACTCTCTTTCAGATAAATATCTTACTTAAATTTCGAGATATCACATCATTCGGTCGTTCAATTGAAATCTTTCAAAAAATTCCATGAAAACTTTTATTTGTTATCTTAAAACATAGTAATTCTCACTCAATATGTTGTTATATAAAAACGAAGCAAATAAATTGTAAAGTGGAGAAGATTTGTAGCTCAGCACAAACTTCTACCTGTAGTTTGTGCTGATGATGTTGTTCAGAAGGACGATGAAAGCTCCACGACCAAACCATCCAGCTCAGAGAACAAACCTACATCAAAATTGTAAAATTCTCAAAAGTTTTTCGTAAAACAAACCATATTGGAAAATAATTTTTTTGAAAAAAATATTAATTTACTTACTTCAGAGATAAAACTAAAAAATCTATGTAGCCATACTTTCACCAATTCTAAAGTTGACAAATTGTTCATAGCTTTATTGTTTAATACATTGAATTCTTTTGAAGTTAACAAGGAATAATTACTGATATTTAATTGATTCATATCAATGTTTTCCAACTTGTTAGGTAGTTTTGAAAGTAGAATTTCACGTATTGAATTCAGTTGACTATGTAATTCTTCATTTTCATTTAACAGACGTCGTTTACATGCTATTGTTTCAGCTAGATCAGCTTTTAATTCACTAGATTCAGTTGTAGCTTCTACAAGTGTATCATAACGAGCTGTGGCCAGATTTAGTCTGATCGACAATGTTTTAATTTGTTCCTTAATGAGAACATAAAATTATGGAAAATTAAACATACATTTATTATAGGGACAGTGGGAATTTCTTTGGCACTTTGAAAATCAAAGTTATCATTATAAAACGTAACTACAACCATGGCCACTAAGAGTAGAAGATACTCGTAGGCTACTAGTATTTGACCACAGATGCTTTAGAAATATCGCTCGCATCTGCTGGGATAACTGGGTAAGTAATAGTGAGGTTAGACGCAGGGTATTAGGGAATGATGGTAAATCAGTTGACGAGGTGATGAATCTTCATCAACTGAGATGATTGGGCCACGTGTTACGTATGCCTGAACACCGATTACCACGACGCGCAATGTTGACTAGTATTGGGGATGGTTAGAAGAGAGTTAGGGGTGGCCAAACCGAAACATAGCATCAATGCTTGAAGTCACTAACTTTTAGTCTGAGCCATGTTGGCAGATGCAGACTACCTGGTTGGGGTCTGCGTGTCTATCGTAACCAAAGGTTAGAGACTCTGGGTGACATGGCTCAGAATCGATCACAATGGCGTAGGTGTATACACTCTTTATCTTCCCTTAAACATTGAGATTAAAATTGCTTCATAACTTCCTTCCTTCCTATACTATATCCTTATATACAACCTTTCTTGATATACTACCACCACTAAATTAATTACTTCTATGAATCCGGTGTTCGTCTTGTTGTACTAACGAGGTATGGCAACTTGGACCGATGCATATATGTGCCTGGTCCTACGTTGTAGCTGACTGACTGACAAACATTTTGATTTATAATTACAATTCAACTGGCATGGAATTAAGTAAGCACTTTGTTTAAGAATTCATGAAACTTTCATGTTAATTGTTTCTGTAAGAAGTGAAAATGAAAATGTTAAAAAAGTTAACAAGCAAATATCAAAGATAAATTAACTAATAATAATCAGCTTAAACGTAGGCTACAGATATTCCCTACTATCGTAAGTCAGGAACCAACATGGTCAAATGTATTTATAGGTAGTTATTGCGAATAAAACTAAGATTGCTTCTGTTGAGAAATTCAATTAGCAACTGCTAGTATTTTAGATATTCAATCATCAAAGTGACTTAATAAGAGCAAAACCTTACTCAATTGCATTGCATCGTTTTCTATTACATTATTTATTTGCTCTCTTATAACTGACACCTATCGTCTGGCGGATTAAACATTTTTGTGTATTAACTACTGAGACATGTAGTAAACTTCGTATATTGATAAAGCGAATTCCACCGGTTAGTCAAACTAATATATTAGTTACAGATGGCTAGAGACAAATATGGTTAATCTCTGATTCTTGACTGTTTCATTAAATTAAATTAAACTACAAGCAACCTAGGAAAATGGTAATTATTAAGTCTCTATAGCAAACGATTCAGCTCATATTTTTAACTTAATGTACAGAAAGCTAAAAAAGGGAGTTGAGGGGTGAAACAACAACTGAATAAACCTTTTCAAGGAATAACTATACTGTAAATATGTAAAACAACGTAAAGACATAATACAGCATGCAGCATGATCAATGTATTTAAAGTGTCTTAATCACCATCATATTACCAAAGGATCACTAATATATGGCTTCTTTTAATGTGCATTCACAAAGGTCCGTTTACTTTACCCATAATCTGAAAACCAGCAATATTAGACTTAGGCTTAGAAATAAGTTCTTTTAAAAGGATGAAAATCATCAAGTAACTAAATTTTTGGGATTTAAGAGATTGTTCACCTCAATATGTCTTCAGCTGTATAGTAAATAGGTTAGAAAAGCTATTTAGCTCTATATTTGAGCAAAGTCCATAGTGACATTTTACCACACAAATTATGCAATGCTTAAATCGTACAGTATATGCTCGGCTTTCACAGTCACTGATAAATTCTTACCACCTTAGTAATTATCTAACAGGCTAAAAACAAGACCAACGACCATCAATTTTATTTTACTTCCAAAATAAGTATGATGCGGACTTTCTGTCAAAATAATTCTCATTCAAATTTAGGCAGATTAAGAAATCAAGGGTTTATAAAATTAGTTGTCTTTATGCAGAGTTCCCCACTGTTTGAAACAACTACATAGTAGTGAAGGGAAACAAGACAAAACATATCACTTCATACGTATTACACAGTACAACTGCAAAGTAATACAGAAGTGGATCATCTTTTCAAAAAGTAGAAAGATATTTGTTCACTGAAGAATGCAAATGGGTACTAATTTAAGACATGTCCAATTTTGTATGTGTCGAAAGAATGGTACTAAAACACAGCCTTACAGACTCCTGGATAGAGAAGTTTTTCAATCTCAAAATTATAAGCTAACACTATACAAATTTTATCCAACACCAAATGGAGTGGTGGCCTATCAATAAGAGCTATGATTCATCATCAGTAAGCAAAAGCCTAATGACGCCCTCCGCTTATTTCGACCAGTGTACCTAAGTATCATCCGTAACCCACTCACAGATCGCACTCCCTTATTTATTTATTTGTTTATTTAAACACATAAATATTGGTACAAGGAAGCACCAGATACATATGCGCCTCACAAATCTCCTTCGATTTGCTTGAAGGCTGTGATACTGGCCAGGTGCCCAGACTGAAGCAGGTGGTTTTCTTAGGGGACCACACCCGGAGCCTTTGACCGAAAGATCTGATCCACAAGGCAGTGGAGCATCGTGAGTAGATACAGTCCCATGGTAGCCGGTGATCAACGATTGATTCGTACGCCATTTGTTACCACAGGATACTGGAGCCCATGTGCACCATTGGTTTAGAATCAGGGTTTTCCAACTCCTCTAGGTGGAATTTCCGTGTCCACCAACCCGGTTAAAGCGGCGTACATTCGCTTTTCATCCTCTCAATTTCGTAAACAACAGTGATGCCACGAGAAGGCAGTGAGTAGGACTTCCCTGGCAGAGGCTATATATTCGCTGGCCATATGAGGGTATTTCGAGAGGGAGAGGTGACTCTCCCCACTCTCGGACATACCAGAACATTTGGGGGCTCTGGAAGACTGTGATTAGTGGAGTGACAAGGGGCATACTTTTAGGGCCAGTATTGTTCCTTTAAAATGTAAATGAACCTCAGTATCCCGTCATCATTCGCTTTGTTATATACTGACGATACTAAGATATGGAGAGTGATAAGAAAGGAATAACACAGTTTGGGACTTCAAAATGATCTGCAAAAATCGTCTAAATCGTCTGGAATTTGACAACTGCTGACGAATAATTCCAAATGTATTATGATGCATTATGGCCACCAGGGTAAAGACACATACATGGTGAATAACATTAAGCTACCTGCCCCAGACACTCAATGACCTAGTTGTCGTTGACTAAGACTTGAAAACTACTGCACACCGAAGTGATAGCCACCGACGGTTTTAAAAACCTTTGGTTAATACGTAGAGCCTTTAGCCTTGCCGATACCTAGACTTTTTAGACTCTGTATACAGTGTTTATTCGTCCTAAACTCGAGTACTGCATACAGGCCGCTGATCCCTGTTCAAGAAGATAATGAGCTGTTGTAAGCGGTTTAAAGAGCCGCAACCAGTCTGATTCTTGGAGTCTTAAGATCGTTGTGTGATGAGAAATATGCTAAACTAAACCTATTATCCTTGACTTGATTACATTTTAGGCTACTCAGTGATAAATTAGCACCCAATATGCTTTTTCTTGCGTTCTAAAACAAAGAATTCACAGTGTTCCAAAGAATTTCACAAACCCAGGACGATTATTACCTGTCGGCGTATCAAAGCTGCTTACAGATTAAAGACAATTCCTTATACCTTCTACAAGCTATAAAAAGATTGCAAAGAAGAGTATGTCAGATGTTCAGACACGTTACACGTCATCCTCAAATTAACATTGTTTGATCAAGTTAAGCGAATGTATTCAACCTTTGACATGATAACAAGGAGAAAAAAGCTCGCTGAGAAGAAGAAACTACCTATAGATAGTACTGAGGCATGTGAATCTGCAGGTTCACTTGCGGACTCACATATCAACGTAATACAAACTATAGGGGAACCAAGTCTGAGCAGTGTAGAGGAAGTGATCAAAAAACAAGATAAAGTAAATGAGTAACTCACAGTCACACCTAAGAAAAGAAAAGTAAGAAAACAGAACGTAACCTCTGCGTTTGACGCTGAATCGAGATCGGAGTACAAGGAAAAGACAGTTTCAGGAACTAAAATTCCACAGCGTGTGAAGACAGATCTCGCTGAAAGGTCAGTTATTTTGCATGCATGAGAATCTTTCGATAAGGAACCAAAGGCTAGATTTGAGCACGACCTTAATCATATTAAGTCCTTAATGAGCAAGTTACTCCAAGAAACATTGTTTAGGAGTTAATAACTGCATGCTTTATAAAATGGAACAAAAGGTGGATTCTGAAAGTCATCAGAAAAGCCGCTTCTTGAAGATTACATTTGCCAACGTTGAAGAAAAGAAATTGATTCTAGTTAAATCATGTAAACTGATTGGACCCGGAATATACGTACAATTCCAACCATACAAAGAACGGCTTGAAAAGCTAGAACGTTTTACTCTATCCTATAGCAGACTAAAGGGAGACCGAATTTTTATGTACAGAATACTGAGGGATGATTTTGGACCTAACTCATTCTTTCTTTTTCTTCTCGTTAGATCAGGAAATCTCAGAGGACATAGCAGGCGAGTAGAAAAGCCAATAACGAGCAAAATACCTGTGGCATACTGGTTTTCACACCGATTCATCAATACTTGGAACCTGCTACCCGAAGCAGTGGTGTCCGCACCTTCAATTGACTCATTCAAGAGAAGACTGAATACTCACAAAAGCATACTAGAAAAGTAATAACATAGGCCGTAGGCCTTCTGTCCTTACTATACAAAGCTGAATCTAAAAGAAATAATGCCATTATCCACTTGAGTAGCTCGCGTTTGAAAGTGTCGACTGTCTATATTACACGTTCTTGACCGTATTCTATTATTTGTAGTGACAGAAATCAGTCACAATCAAGAAGGATCATTTGAATCTAAGTGTTTCGTACGTGTTTAATAATTCATCTTGAGACAATCTCATAGAAACAAAGTTAATAGTATAAGCCTTTCCGTACAAAAACTAACCAGGAGCTCATCCTCCCTTGCTTTTGAGAGACTTTTGGTATTTTGCAATGCTGTTGAATCATTGAGAAAGCGTGTTTGCAACATTCGCATTTCATGTTTTAATTTTCCTTTAGAGATAGTTTCAGTTGTTAGATCCTCTCCGGTGTCAGAAATATCTCCATTTAAAATTGAGTCTAGAATCTGTGCTTGGAAATGACTTGAATTGTCTGCATTTGTGTCTGAAGAATCCTTATTTTCAGGTGAGATCATGTTTGTTGTGTAGTTCAAAAAGACGCCATATGAACAACCAAGCCAATATGACACTTGACTGAATAAAACCAAAGTATATGATATTGTGCGGAAAAAGTTATTGGATCATAAAATGCCATAAAAGTGACCGATAGCTGTTTTCGATTGCCCAATTTTCACTTGCTTTGGGGTTTTCTTGGTTAATATATATCCTGGAGGCATGTTGTACATTGGGTCAGTGTACGATTGAGTGTGTATGTAAGAATATTAGGTGTTTGTAATTTGTGATAAAACGCCTTTTTATGCCTGAAAAAACGTAAATATCATAAAGTAGGCCAGGTTTTAATGTTAATATCTGCAAAGTAAATCCCAGAGTCACATTATTGCCTGCATGGGAACTTGATACTTGCAGTTATACATAATTACGGCAACTGACCAATCCAGAATATGAGGTAATAAACGTAGCATGACAATATCATATTGGGACACAAATTTTTCGTTATAATGTTGGTATTGTGGTCTATTCCCATATTAGGACTACCATAATACTAGACCTTGTCTCAAAATTGTAGATTTGTCATAATAAGACTACCTGATCTATAAGATCTTACGTAGAAGATCTCATAGTTAGAAGCTAGAGCTACTACAATATTCGTAAAAAGTTGTATTTTTAACGTTTCGTGGCACTATGTAAGCCACTACTCTGAAGAAATGGCTTACACATAGTCACTGAACAAAAATACAGTTTTGTAAATATTATGATATGACGGAAAACATTATTATTATTAGCTTTCTACCCAATGCTCAGTTTATTTGGAACTCCTAGCAAAATGTTTTTCCTAACAAAATATCTTACTCTAAACATCAATAATCAGACACTCGATGTTGTTAAATATCCAAAATAACAACAAAAATGAATGTATAAACTCGGAGTGTCTATAATTTGACGGATTATATTACCTAATTTATTATTTCCATGATGTTGGTTACGGATTTTAATGGCAAACAAATACGAAAAATAAGTATTCTGGAAAATTTTAGACGTCGACCCTTACCTCATCAGTTTTACTGGGCATATCCCTACCTGAATGTTCCCCAACTCACAATAAATAAGTATGATGTTATTCCATGCATTTTTGTGCTCTTTGTTCTCCATTTTCCTAGATTTCACCCACGATATATTTGTTGCGATCTCCGTCAAACCTTTTCAAAAACACGTTTTGGATATTCATATTATTTTGTATAATGCGTACATCCATTATGTACTGAACATCATTCACAAATGTATATGTACTACTCCATTCTCGCCGTATTCTCTGGTACATTTCTATTCGATCCTCAGATTTCTAATAAATCTATTGTATATCTTTATTTATTGAACCAGGTAGTCTTCCAGTAGATTAATTCCCATAACATTTAACTAAACGTAATGTTTGAGAGCATGTTTTTTGTGTAAAAAAATTTGCGAATTCGTTTAGGATTGTCAGCCTTTTATTATTTTCACGTAAATTTGAATAACTGTTTATAATTGTTCAATAATGTAATTGATTGCCTTTTATTTTCATAGATCGTTTTCACGTTTACCTTTATTCCTTTCGGTCTACTACTCAATGTTAAACCTTTGGATAGAAAGTGAATTGTATTAAAAAAATTAAACATCTGCCATCTGCTAGGTACGTTTCTAAGACATTCGGACCCATGAAAAAATAAGTAGTTTGTAGGGGCAATGAAATGCCCTAGCCAAATCATCTGTAGTGTTGGATCGCTGAATATCGAACGGATTATGAATCCCTGTCAAGGTCAGAGACAACTGACGCGCATCAGTTAATCATACGCCATAGACTAGCCCATACAGTGGTGGTCACATTTTTGCTTGTACCTAATTAAACGAATATTTTTCTGTAACAACATCCTTTGGGTTGTACGCTCTTCAAAGCATCCATAGTACCTAGATACGACGGAGGGGTAATCCATGTTAGGTTCTGACTGCGAAGTATGACTTCAACGTTGATCACGCCATTCCTGTCTAACTCGACTAGCCCCCCAAACACTCGACAGAGATCATCAACGTAGATGATTTACAAGTTCAACGAAAGCTGCCAGCAAGAATTTTGTTTATATTGAGAAAAACAATACTTAGTCATGAAAGGTGTGCCAGCTTAGAATGAAGAGGCAGATCGAATTTTCGTAAAATGACGAGAAAAATTGATTAAAAATCTAAAAAATTTTTCTGAATTACAGAAACAGGTCACGAAGCGCGAATTCGGTGCTTCTAGTAACCATAGTCATGCTTATGAAGTCTATCAAAGTCTCCACAAAGTAATTCTATTTATCAAACTTACCCAGTGTAAATTCTGTATTTGTTATTGGTGCATCATCCGCGGGTATTGGTGTAGTTTTGGAGCAGGAAGGTAGACCAGTTATTCGTTTTTCATGGTTCAACGAAGGAGTATTCTTTGAGTGTCTATGACTATACTGTTCAGCACAGGAATGCCAAACAAGTTAAACATGTTGACCACATTTCTTGACAAGCATTATAAGATAGACTTGTGTGATGATTAGGAGCATTTGAATCATAGTATAAACTAGTAATCCCAGAAACAACGTAACTTAATCAAAAACTAATAGATGAATAGGAACGAATGCATTGTATTTGGAATTCAAAATCAAGTAGCCATCAAGTAGAAAGGAATCATTATTTCATGCAAACACCACAACTTGTTGATACTTCAGACTGTTGTTTGTGCAACCTTTACCGGCGAGACGTCCAGATCACATTAGCGAAACTTGTAGATACTTTGAGTGTATACTTAGTGCTAGAGGGAAAGGTTGGAATACCAATCTGAAACGAAGATTCCCTTTATCAAGGAAGGGGGAGTTATCCACAACTCGTGATGGTAGTATCTGTTTATATGAAGGTGTTGTCATTCCTCCTTCATTACGTAAATCTGTACCTGAAGATCTTCATAGTGGTATTTAGGTGTTGAGAAAAATGAAGTCATTGGTAAGGCTCACATATTGGTGGCCGGATGTAAATATCTAGTACAGCAAACGATTGTGGAAGATTTTACAAATCGAAAATCATTTATTTAACTGAACCAATATCATATGAGGCGAGGTAGGGAATTCACTTGGACTATCGTGGTGTATTTCTTAACAAATAGTATGCATGTGTCATTTATTCCTTTTGCTAAGTAGCTTGAAATATTTTTCACAACTTCACCAAACCCCGATTTCAAATAACATCGACCTGCAAAATGGTTCTGCGACAGACATGTCGCTAAGAATGATAAAGCTTATCTGCCAAAATAATTTTGATGATGGCCTACTCAGACAATTTTTCTTATCCAAACTTCCTCAACAGGTGCAAGCTGTGATGGTCTCGTTCCAAAACAACGCCGTAGACGAGCTGGCTGCATCTGCTGACCGCATCCTAGAAATCACAAAATCTGCTTATGCAGAGACTTTTTCAGTCAAAGAAAAACCTCAAACGACTCAGAATGACATTACGGAATCATGTCATACACTTACACGTTATATAAGATATTGTAATGACCGTAATGGTTCACATAATTTGCGAGGAAGCACTTCATGTAGGCGGTCTATCTATAGACCGAAAGAGACGGCAAACCTTGAGTGATCCTGTTTACATAGCCAGTATGGAAAGTCTTCCGGAAATTGCAGAAAAAACCTCGAATTATCCGAACTCAAAATCGAATGCCACGAAAAACAATTCGGGAAATTTCTCAGCCGGCACGCGTTAACGGCAGACGTAGCCGGCGAACATAGCCGTCTGTTATACGTCATACATGCGATAACTAACTTTTGCTACCTCGTCGATACTGAAGCAGGTTTTGGAGTGAAGATACGACTAGTTTTCTAGTTTGACAACGAGCAACCAGTAACACCCTCTATATTCGAAGCTTCCCCCAACCGAATGAAATCAGAAGTCAGATGCGAAGAGATTGAAAAGATATATTTCATACGTTATCAATATATCGAGAAGCGTTTGCTCTCATCTGGCTTGTGAACGTAGCTGTGTCCCACGCCGAGTTGCAACGCAATCTGGTACGGATGCATGACCGAAAGCCTTCAGTTAAACAACGTGGTCAGTATACAATGTCGAACACTTGGAAAGCTATTGATTTTGGGGAATTATTTACAACTACAAGCGTTTCATTCCGAAAATTATAACGACCGGCTTTACGAATCTGTTTTGAACTTACAGTCGGCAAAGGGAAAGTCAATCGCCACATACGGTAGAAGGTACGTTTACCTTGACGCGGGTTTACGCAAACTCATTCACTGGATCTTCGTTGTTGCATATGTTTCTATGTCAATCATTGGTATAAACCCTCTACAATACCAAAATTTACTCGATACGCGGAAACGGAGGCTAGTAGACGGAAACACTAATTCGTCTGTTTGCCTAACTTCTTTTACCTTTTGCAAATTATCTCCAGTCACAATTAAGCACACAATAGACCCATTACTAAATAAGTACTCTGGGATATACCAGACAAGACCGAAATCGCCGTGTGTAACCAGCAATATTACACATCACGACTACAGAACCACATGTATTCTCGAAAGGACGCCGACTGGCTCCCAGAAAGCTGAGGTTGACCAATAACCCACCAAACACATGATAGAGCTAGGAATCACTCTACTGTCAAACAGCTCATAGGTACCTCCCTTGAAAATGTTCCCTAGAGTGGACAGAAGCGATTTGCATTCTGTTGACTATCAGCGTTTGAATGAGAAAGCTATTACTGATCGTTACCCATTGCTTCACACTTACGATTTGACCGCTACCTTGAAAGGTACAACTGTCTTTTCTGAAGTCGATTTGGTTGAAGCCTTTTTAAGTTACCTTATAGGTCAAATAAATCCTTACCACCAATCGTTGTACTTTTACTTCTTGTCGTTGTGGTTAGCCCCTCCAAGTAGATCAGCAGACAAAAGTAGTCTTCATACATTCTCTCGATCTTCTCAACATATTAAATGTGAAAATAATCTAC